GGGTTTTCCCTGGTCTGAGAGCCATGAGAAGAATCACAAAACAAAAGGTTTTAAAATCAAACACTGAAGAAAGTGTGTTCAGTGTGCTTGTGAATTCCTAAACCCAAAGGGAGTTTTAAAGGTAAAGGAAAATGTAGGATTTAGTGGAATCTAGCGATGTAGTTGCAGATTGCAACTCACTTGTTTCACCATTCCTTTCCAAGTGTGAGGGGAAAACTATGGTGGCCAAGAAACATGTGAAAAACAGCCTTATCTAGAGTCAGTGTTTGTTCTGGGCTACTGTAGAAACAACCTGCAGCATCTGGAGACAACATCATTCTAAGGTAACTCAAACACAACAATTCTTTTTCTCAGGTGATTATACACTAATAAAAACATACATATGAATATTATATTCCATTTCTGATCTTCTTAAATGTTACACACTGGACCTTAAAAAGGAAATAAATGTGGGAGCATGCACAAGGGGCAAAGTGTCAGGTAAACTCGAGATATGTTTGAGTTTTCCTTTGGGCAAAGCAAGCAGCAAAAAGACAGAGAAAAAGCAGACATCAAAGCTTTCCCCTTTCAATCTCAGCACGTCTTCCACTTCATTCAGGGTTTGCGTCTTCCCATAGTCATTTTTTTGGGCCTTTGTTTTTAAGGCGTTTTTCTAGGACAAGATTGCGAAAGCCAAAATGGGAAATCTCAGCCCTCTGCGGTTGGAACTCCCTGCCACAACACACAGGAGGAAACAACAGTATGCTACCATAATTACAGCGGAAACAGGGTATGAAGATACACATGGAAAACACAAAAAAAAAAACATGGATGACAAAGAGAGTTTCCTCTTCATTGTCTTTTGAAATCATACTTTCATCTCATCTGCTCAAACATCAAAACTAAAGTGCTATTTTAGAGGTTAAAATAAATGTTATAAAATATGAAAATAACCATAAAGCCGATTACTACAGTTACTATTATTAATATAATCACTGCTTATTGTCTCCCATTGTTGTCGTCGTCATCTTCTTCTTAATGTTCATCATCATCATCAGTCACTACTATTAGTGTAGTTGTTGCTACTGTTGTTGCACCTCTGTCTCTCTCTCTCTCCCTCCCACCCACCTAGAGTCGGGGTCTGTCCTAGGTTTCTGCCTGTTAAAAGGCAGTTTTTCCTTGCCCCCGTCGCCAAGTGCTTGCTCATGGTTGTACAGTTGGGTCACTGTAAATGTTAAAAGGAGTTCGGTCTATTTGCATTGAAAAGTGTGCTCTATTTGAAAAGTGTCCTGAGATAACTTCTGTTATGAATTGGCGCTATACAAATAAAATTGAATTGAAATTGAACCTTCATTAGTTTATTAATTTTTATTTTATTTTATTTTTATTTACACCCAAAAAAAACAAGACTTTTCTTTTTCTTTTACAAGAACATCCTTTCACTTGAAAGCGCCTTTAGTTGTTTGTTTTTCTTTATAATAAATATTTCATTTTACACTTTTATATAAATAAATAAATACTGACTCTCAGCCAAGATGGCTGATGATGAATGGCACTTGGTGCGCAGGAGGTAAAACATAGGAAACTAGCACCGTTGGTACAACCACCAAACCCGCCCAATTAATAGCAAAAAGCTAGGAAATCCTGAAAGGAAATCGCCTCTTTCAAATTATCCAGAATTATTTGCTCAATTTGGCAAGATAATCTTAAAACCTATAGAAAACGCCCTCCCATAACGCCAGAGCAGCCTATTACTCAGCCACTAATAGAAGAAAATAAGAAAACCAACCCCTAGGTTCCTCCTTCCCAGCACTGTAGCCAGGCTGACAGTAGTCCCACAGCCTCTATTGAGCCACATATTTCCCCCCCATAAACTCTAAGTACCAACCGACTTTATGCAGCTTCTTTATAATAAAATTATTACTATTAGAAGAAAAAATTAATCACCAACTGCCATCAACAGTTATCAGTGGCTCTCCAAGTTCAGAACTTTAACTAATGTAAACTTAGATATATATTTACACTGTTTTTCCTGCTATCAGTCTTCATCAGTTAACTTCAATAGTTTCTGCATCGAAGCCATCAACTGGTCTGTTAAACCCATGTTGTACCCTTAATTTTGAAGTTCATCACGCACAGAGACAGCTCTGGTTAAAGTTAATAATGACCTTTTGATTGCTTCTGACAATGGACTTGTCTCCTGTACTTGTATTATTAGATCTTAGTGCTGCATTGCACCATTGACCATAATATTCTTTTTACAGAGCTTTGAGCATCAAATTGGCATTAAAGGAACCGCACTAAGCTGGTTTAGGTCCTATTTATCAGATCGTTCACAGTTTTGTTCATGTTAACGATGAATCTTCAATAAATACTACAGTTAGTCATTGGAGTTCCACAAGGTTAGGGTAGGGGACCTGATCCCTTCTCCCGAAGGAGACAGGGGGAAGCACGGTCCTTCCACCCACGAACTCCTCATAACCCCCGGTCCCTGCTTGGTTTGAATTGGGCGTGGGCGCT